CTGAGAAATTTAATAATGGAATAATCATTGTGTCTGAGAACAAACTGCTGGTGCTTAAGAACTCACAAGAGGCAACAAATTATTATGGAACAAAATACAGTGTTTTTCTACCTTGGTTTTTTGCTTTATTGATTAAAGGAAAGGCCCAAAAGAGTCTTTTCATGCTCTTATGCAACATTGCAGGAATCTGATTGGAAAATAAAGGAAAAGGTCACTATTTAGGCAACACACAATCCCCTATAGATGAGAGACCTATCGCTCAAATAGAGATGTTGGAACAAGAGTACTCAGTCCAATTGCTGTTATATAGTGGTGTTACAGTGGAAGCCATTCAGCCATTTAAAACAAAAGCTGTACTCTTACATGCACAAAGTGATGCCTGAAAGCGTAACATGAAAAAATGTATATTATAAGGATTGACTGAAGCTAAACTATGTTACAGAAAAGAGGTGCAAGAACACAACCTTGATCAACATTTGTAAATAGTTGAGTAGACCATTAGTAATTTAAAAAAGTCCTGTTTCAGTATGTTGCAAAAACAAGAACATACTATCAGGGACAATATCTGTTCTCAGTGTAGCACAGCCTAAATGTCAAAATACCCTGAGTTAAATCAGTGTGTGCAGCAGGGTTTAGTATTCTCACCTGAGGATATTATTGTTGTTCCCTTACCTCAAGCCTCACCTCAAGTCAGTTTGCTTAGTTAGGTCACAGCTCACCTCAACAGAGGAGGGGAAAAGATTGCTCAGTGAGGTGTTTCCTGGCAAGATGCCGGGTAAAAATCTATTCCCTGCTCGATAAAATATACTGAACTGTGAGGAGGTCAGATAATCAAGCCGTGCAGGAAAATCTCTAACAACCCTGCGATTCTGATTCTAATTGGAGAGAATCTACGAAATATGTGGTCCTGTTATGAAAACGTTATTATAGCCATTTAGTTATAGTATATAATTTATTATAGTCATTTTCATGCACTGGTATGAAACAGAATTCTGCATATGAGGTGACAAACCGCTTGTTTGCTTAACATTTTCATATGATGCCTTATTCTCTGCACAATATGAGATGTGAAGAGTTCGCTAGCCACCAACTTACGGCAAAAGGGGCTTTGAACATTTGAGCTGACAATGTGGGCTGTGTGGGAACATTTTATTTTTTGTTGTTGCAAAGAGGTATAGTGAATAGATATTTATCACATGAAAAGAGTGATCAGGTCCAGATTTTTAATTCATTTTGGTAGTCTTTCAAATAAATTTCGCCACTGAATCCCGGAGTGCTCGCTCTTCAGATTTCCCCCGGAAAGGCAGCTTTCTCTTTTTGTTGTTGGCTGTTTTTCTGTTGATCGAGTGAGCAGGCCAGGAGCAAGGAGTAAAATGAGTACACAGTTCACCCGGCCGCCAGGTCACTGGCCAACTGGGAGCCCTTAGATGAGTGCAACCTTTGAAAGCACAGTTGTTTGCTGAACCAAATAGAGCTGTGGCCACTGTTAAAAAAAATAAAATAAAAAAAGTAGTTTTGTTTTCTTGTAAACACTGAGATATCACAACCAAGAATCTGCTGATATTGTTGTTAGTGTCAAGAATGAATGCAGTATATTTCAGATTTTCTTCTGAAATATACTGCATTCTGCTATTCAGCATGTCATAGTGAAAGCACTTGTTTCTTACAGCCGTTTTTGCCTGGTGGTCCATGTTAAATCCTACTGTAGACTAAATAGAAAGGCTGAGGGGAATGAGGCGTTTTCTATGAAATTCACTTGTTGACTATTAGAGTTTTCATCATGTTATTGTCATGGAATGACCAGAAGACCGACGGGAGGTAGTAGAATCAAGTTTATTTGTCAATAACCCAACAGAGAGCGAAGGAGTTTAACCCAAAGTCTAAGACTATCAAAAGAGATCGAGATCGAAAAGTGTCGTGTCTAACAAGACTAGACAAGGAGTGAGTGTGCCAGTGCAGTTTATAAAGGTGTGATCAGTACTGAGGCGATAGTGAACGGCTGAGAGGAGTGGGTGATGGAGAATGTGAATGAGTGGGAGGAGTGAGTACCGGTGAAGGTGGAACCCTGGCAGTTATTTTGATTGGTTGTCAATTACATTTATTAAAATGAACAAGTATTTTGCAAATAACGTTGGGAAAAGCCTCAATCAGTCTTTGGCTAAGCAAACAGTAAATATAATTCACGTGTCTTAGTTTGAAAATGTTATTGAAACACTGAGGAGTAAAAACAGGAGAATTAACTGAGTTTATTTACTACCATACAATTTCAAAAATACATTTTACCAGGTGATTGACAGTGAGGGTCTTGTACCGGTCGGTGGGAGCGCCTGCTGCAAGTGGAATCAGGATCAAACGCCATCTTGCACGAGAGTGGCATCATTTTACTGCCTTCTCATCAGAAAAATACGCACTCGATTGGCTTACTCCTGTTACCAAAACACAGATTTCAACAGATTTTTGCTCATTGCTTTGCTGAGATTCAGTCCATCAGCAATTCCCCAACTGTCTGACATTCAAATCCATTTGACTGGTTTGAAGGAAAACTTTTTTGATGATAATCAGGGTTGAGTACAAGAAAGATTTTTTGGGGGGGGGGAATCTGGACATCTTTAAATTATTCCTCTTGTGCATACTCAAGGCTACAGCGGTCTGAATGAATGCTGATATGAAAAAGTAGAGATGGAGGAAGCATCAGTTGCAATGCTGATACCTTGGTGCTGTGGGCCCCGAGGTCGCCGCTCCTCTGCCTTCCAGTGGGAGGCAGATAAAGTCATCATTAGAAAGGGCTTGAGAGAGAGAGAGAGAGGGAGAGAGTGTGTGTGTGTGAGAGAGAGAGAGGTTTCAACTCAACTCCCTGCCTTCACTGATTCTCTTTGAACTCGAAGCCAATTTCGCATGCTTGTGCAGACGTACTGCTTTAAGCCAGAAGAGCCCAGCGCTTCCGATATCTAACCCCTGTGCTCAACCTGTGGAGCCGACTCCCGCTCAATGCCTCAAATGTCTGCTCCAGTACCGGCCTGTGTCGTGTGCTTTTTTTCTTTTGTGTGAAAAAGTTTTAACTTGAAGTCGAGCGGTTTTAAAGCAGTAAGCACGGTTAGGAAAAGATTTCTGCTAGGTCAAATAGCAGCAAAAATGTATTGCGGGACTTTGCTGTGATGCACATAATCACAGATTTAAGATAATTTATAAAGGTACATAAAGCTCTCACAAGATAATTCAAATGGACGGTGGGCCGTTGTGAAAAGTGCTTCTGTCTTTCACAGATGAGAGAGGAATGGGAGGATAATGCTGCAGGTGGCATGCCCCCGAGCTGGATATCAAAATAAAGCAGTTGAGAGTGAACACTGCTCAAAAGCCAATGACATTAAGTCTTTTATTCTATTCTTATTTTAGCGCTGTGTTCACAATGAGCTCCGTTTGCTCTTGATTGTGATTATGTTGTGGCTCTACACCCAATTTCAATGTTGCCCATATTAATAACTCTTGGTTTTGATTATACAGCCACATTCTACTGCAGCACTTTCCATGTGTGGGTGTTGGGGGGGGTGTTATTGTGCATGTGTGTGTGTGTGTGTTTTTCATCATGCCAAAAGGTGGTCATGGAGACGCACACTGCAGCAGAAAGTACCACGGAGACGATACTTCTGGATGATCGATGCAGTCATGAAACTTTACAGGTGTGTAGTTGAAATTGAAATGACAGCAAAGGTCAAAGATGGGTGTGGTCCTAGCAGGGCACTGGGAGTAGGGGATTGGGGTAACAAGGGGGGAAGGGGCCATTCACTCCGCCACCCTTGGCTGGATTTGGTGTCACCAGATGTTCTGTAATTTCCACTTTTAATCTTGTTTTCAAAATAAGTGCTTAAATCTTATGGGAGGAAGAAAAGGGGCTTTCACCTGCTGTTATCTAGAAGGGTCCGTTCAGAGGTTGTCGAACCAGATATATTGAGAGAGCGGGTTTACTCTTTTAATCCTCGTGGCTCACTATTCAGAAAAGGAGTTGCTGTGTGTATAGATGGAATATAATTGCTGTAACATGCTGATTGTGGAGGAGAAATGTTCACACTGATTCGCCCTGAAGGTGAACTGACGTAACCTTGGGTGCATGTATCCATGGAAATGGAAGTAAAGCTGCCAATTAAAGAGATGACTCATCAAACCTTCTGTGGGAAATAGGAGATTAAATTGGACCCTATTCAGCACCACTGTACACAGAGCATAATTCTCCAGAATTTGTTGGTCCAAGCTCTATTCGTGATATTGGTGCACAATTTACACCCTTAACCCCCTTAGCAAACATTTTAGTTGCAGTAGCTGAGGTAGTGCTGACTATTGGAATAAAAACTCCACCCATGAATCAGTTTAAGCATGAGTACTTTTCAATTAAGTTACATGCCACCTCTTTGAAAACGTATCTTATAAATCAATGCTGTAAATTGGTAATAAAACATGCACAGTTTTAGTAGTGTGTTAAATAAAATAAATGTAAAACATTTCCCTGAGCCAGCAATATCTTTGCATTTTGGTTTTGAAGAGCATTGAACAAATATTATTCTTTTACGGAAAGTTAACAGTTGGATTTATGAATTAATCATTTAATTATGTCTCAACAGAGCCCTAGAGGAATATAGGTTTTACTGCACATCGAAACATTTAGTGTTTACTGTTACTGTTTGCTGAATTACTCTTATTAACAGTATATATAATACCCCAAATAATTAGCAGTATCGAAGCGGTATGCAGTGCGGCTTCATAATGGCAGTTTTTGCTCGTAGCAAACCAACTGTGAGAACCACTTCAGCTTCTGCATTGTGATTAATCTCCGGTGAAACGGAACAATGTTACAAGAAGTGTTTAAAGAAAATCCCCTCGCATTGGATTGAACCACTGGAAAGTGTGCAGGCTTAAAATGTTGCAGATCACAAAGCTACGAAGGAATGCAGCTCCACACAAACCACCCGCAGTCGCTAAAAGGTGAAACATTTAAGAGCAATAAAGTACACTCGTCTCCTCATCGCTTTTCAGCGACAGAGAAAAGAAGATGGCTTTTCGCTCTTATACTTCCCCTTATGCATATCTTAGGCACTTTTAAAAGGGGGCCTTCAGAACTGAGCAGGGCCTTTTTGTATTCAGCCAGGCCAGCTTATGGTAGCGCTAAATGCAGATCAGTGCTTTTACTTGAAGATGTTTGATGAATCCAAAAATCCTTCGTAGAAATGATCCTGGATTCTGGGGCGAATCTTGGGGCTCGTTTGAATGGGACAAGCTGTAGGCTAATTCCTTACCGCTAAGAAGAACAGAGATTAGCCTTCATTGTCAACCCCGACTGGATTAGGCCGACTCTAAAAGAGCTGATCAAACCCAACGAGATTCTGCGTGGCGAAGCGAGAAGCGCTTGCCATAGGTGGCTGCTCTGAGGTGTAAACAGAGCTGCGACACTTCATCTCGCCCTGCAGGGCAGACAGAGGCCTCGCAACCACCTTGTGAGGAGATGCCATGACCATGAAATCCTTATCTCTGTCACTTCAGCACGAGCAGATACTGGCGCACAGCGGCACGGGCGCTCCGGCGAAGTAAGTGGCGGTCGGCTTCATCCAGCTTGCAATGGGATGAATCGACTGGTTGTATTTCCTTTTCTGAAAAAGTGATCATTATCTTTAACCTCATTATTCTGGTGTGTGTATGTGTGTGTGTGTGTGTGTGTGTGTGTGTGTGTGTGTGTGTGTGTGTGTGTGTGTGAGAAATCTCCTCACCTCAGTTGCAGAGTTTCTTTTCTTCTGCTCTCTTAATAATTGTCACCTAGTAATGAATGTGGTTATTAAAGGAACAGCTGTACAGAACGTCGCAAACATGAATCAAATTTCTACTAGAGCATACAAACTCATGTGATAGCAGATTACAGAAAACAGATAAATACACCTTTGTTGAGTTGATACGTCATCTCGTGCGCCCCTCACCCATCTTGAGGGATTCAGCTTTATGTGCGGTCTCTTACGAGCAGCCATGCTAGTTGATTATAACATTAGAAGAGTTGCCTGCTCAGCAGTCAAAAGTATTACGGCTGCCGCTGCTGTAACAGCCGTGTGTCTTCCTCCCGACATTTTCATCTCCTATGCAAATACAGACCCAATGGAGCCAGTAATCATTCATCAGGAAACTGTCTCCAAATGGTAACTGCTTCTGTCCTGCTCATTCATTATTCATCACCATGGACGGGTCAGGCGGCTAGAGAGGCTCCACTAGTGGCACAACCACAGTCGGCCCCCCGTTCCACTGCTTATCTCTCTCGCAGGGTGGAAAGAGGAGGGAAAAGTCAAATGTTCACTTCGACGCGGCTCTCCGCCAGAGTGTCAGATATGAAGGGTGTGTGGCTCGGTTCACGTCCCCGACTCCGGTATTGATAAAACACAGTGCCTGCTGCTGATACCCCCCCCGTTCATTACTGTGCTTAATGAGAAACTCTGTAAAGTAAGTGAGAAATGTTGTGTTTAGGATGAGCTGGAGGCAGAGTTTCACTGCAAATGTGACGGGCAATATGACATTTAAGAAAGGCCCTGATAAACAGGCCCTATGCACAGACAGCTTAGTGGAATCCCGGCCCCATCTGTAGTCTCTCTCTCTCTCTCTCTCTCCTGCTAGCTAACGCAGTGTGTACTTCAAATCACAAAGAGGAAGAGAAAACATCAAACCAACATGTTAACGTGGGAAAGGAAGGGAAACTATCTTCCTTGGATGCGGCGGCAACATGCTACTGTGTCTGTCTGGCGCCTCGTCTTGATCCCTGCAGGCATCTTCTGTCTGTGTATTAATAACCACTTCAAAGCGGATGCGCTCCCCAGAATTTGTTGTGTATGCATTTAGAGGTCTATCTTCCTCTATTATGATCCCTTGCAGCAGACTACATGTAAACACACCAGAGGCGAATGCTAGCAGAGCTGCTGGCTGTAGTCGGTCACAGTGTAAGTCAACGGATTTGGGGTTTTTTTCAAGCAGGAGGCCATACTTGTGATGGATGATTTCCACACGCCGCATTTATCAAGGCCGTTGAGTCGTAAGTTACTTGTCACCGTTGAAATAAATGGTGTAAAATAACAAAACAATTTGTATGATGCCATTGAACTATACACTGGCAACATTTGAATTACTTTGCTGATGGAACACATCCAGAAATAATGTACTTCAAGTTGGCTAATAGAAGAAATGCATGCTAGTTGACTTTTGCCCCTCAGCGACAACTTCAACAGGATGCCGGGAGTTTTAGTTTTCAGCTGTGACGGTTTTGTGAAGTTTATAGACGGGGTCGGGGTACATCCCTTCTAGTCTGTCATCATACTTAAGAGGAGCATCGTCTAGGCCCTGCAGCTCCCCCAGATAAAACTGCCATCGGTGCAATTTCCCCAAGACCCCCCAGGGCCCATAACTCTCTTTGTAGGTTGTCTGACAATTTGCTAAGCAGTTGAGTCAGGGACACAGAAAGACAGAGAAGTATTTGCCGAACAAGACAGACAGTTCTGCAAGGTTATGTGGACCATTTTACCTTCAAATTTCAGATGAAGAAGAATGAAAACCTAAAATTTGCATTCATGACTAAGAGAAGCACAGAAATGCATACACATAGAAAATGAATGAATTAAATGGATGCAACATGATTGTTCTTTCAGGGAGCCAATAAAGATTTCGTTGTGATCATCAAAAGAAGAGAGTCCGACCGATATTGAGGATGAGGCAGTGGAGCCGGAAGGCAAAAAGGTGGAAAGGATTCTGAGCACCACTCCATCTCGCACTGGAGCTTTCTCAGCAACCCAGATTTTGCACCCCACACGCGTCTACCACTCTGCCAAGTTTAAAAATTGCAACAAGAAAGGGCCTCGGCTTCAAGCTGGAATGACATACATTCAACACACTTAAGACGCTCTGGCTGGTAAACTACTACGTGGAGGGAGCCAAGTCCTGTAGTGATGTGCAATGTTCCCATATACTTGTCATGTCCAAGACTTGATTATGAGAGTTTTCTTTTTCTTTTTTTTATCAAGCCATCTGTAATGTTGCAAAACTATCACTATGCTGATCACAAGCACCCACTGAAAAGTAGATTTTATGCAGTTATCTGTTGTGCAGCCTGTAAAAAAACATGTAGATTTGTAGTGATTTTTGTCTCTCCCTTTGAATGTGTGCGTGACAGTAAGAGGGAGGGAAGGACAGCAAGAGACAGGCATGAAATCTTGTCTTTTTTATATTTGACTGTAAACCTGTAATGGATTGTAGGAATGAAATTGCCTGTTACCATATGGGGGTAGCATTGACGAAGGGTGCCATCGGGTAACTAAATAACAGATGAGAGGACAGGATGAAAGACACTGCTTTAATCCACCACAACTGATTTGATAATAAAACTCGAGTTCATTTCACAGCAAAGCCAATTATGTCTTCAGTGAGTTCTGCCATCACTGCTTTCGTTTCAATCCTTAGAACCATTTCTGTGGCGTATTCAAAACCAGCGGGTTGTCTGTCACATATTTGTGAAAATATCTTGACATAATTATGCAAATATTAGACCGAAACAGCAAACTATGATTAAATCAATAACTTCGATTTGAATAACGTTTTAAAGCCATGAAAACTTTCATTTTACAGTGAGCTTTACGTGATGCAAAACACACAAGAGGGCTCCATGGTGATACGAAGTAAGTCAATTCTTCACGTGAAGGAATGAATTAATTAGGATGTCAAATTTGGAGAACATCCCTGCCTTAATTTTTACTCTTAATTGAGGAATAATTTGGAGAGGCGGCGGATCACATGTAATGAAGATTGACACCTGTTATTTCTCCCCGTCTCACCCACCCACAGCCGACTACAGTTTCATAACGGCCGTGCCCTTCCCCCGAGGTTGCATCCACACGCTTCATCTGAGCGGCGTGTGTCCCGATGGACAGCGACGATTGGTGGGCTGCTGGGCGACACCCTTCAGGAGACCTGGATGACGGGACAAGACTGCTCTCTCGTTCTTAACTGCTCATATCCCAGCTGTCTCTCGCAGAGTGATGGCTTCATTTTGACCGCAACGATCCCCTCCTGGAAGCCTCCTCGACGGTATTTCCCCTCTGGAACTAATACGAGCGGTAACACGTGTCGAAAAGGTCAAATATGTGTGCCCCCCACCTTTCGCTCAGCCCACTCGTGGCCACCCCGAAATTACAGCCGCCGCCTGGATGTGGAAGGGAGATTAATTGCCCTCTAAAGTCTGGTTGTACTTAATCTCACGTCCTCAAAGTGTGGCTGTGGGAGATTAGGTTATACTAAGCCTCTAAGCGCGTGGTGTACACACACATACAGGGACATGTATAATTGCATGCACACGTATGTAAAACATAGAACACACACCGCTTTGCTGCTGGTTGCCCAAATGTGTGGCAACCTGAACAAACACACATGTAAATGCCTGCTACACAAAGTCTCTCAAGCGGCCGCGTTACCAACCAACAAATGTCAACCTTCAATCCAGAGTAATTGGGCAAAGAGACAGAACTGGTCGGTATCGTCACAGGACGGAGAATCTTAATCAAACCTGAACTCCTGTCAGTCCGCTGCTCACCTTTTTTTGGTACCACACAACCACATTGGATGAAACGGGGTGGGAGGTGTGTGTGTGTGTGCACAGTCACCGGTCTGCAACAACTGCAACGACTCCAGCGAAAGCGAGACTAAATAATCATTGTTTGTGCGTGGCAGATTGGGCGGCTTGAAAGTGTTAAGCATGACTGGATTAAAAACTCCGGCACACATCCGTTTCCATTGTCTAATCCTCTTAGTGCCCACTCCTAATACGTTTTCATATCTTTCCGTTCTCTCACTGAGGTAAAATATCAGATTAGTTTAGACTTTGACTTTATCTTATTACAACCTTATCTAACACCGAAGGGATGTGAATTTCCAGTTGGGCAGCCACTGCGCCTTCCGTTCGGAAAATGCAGAATTGAGGTTTTAATGTCGCTGTGGTCATTGAGATTAGTCTCTAAAAGAGATTATGTAAACATCCTCCTCTGATATGCAGTTATTTTTAACACTCCTACTGTCTCTTGTTTACAATGTAACCTCAGAAATCACCTCAGATCGCCAGTGATTTGACCGTTTGGCGTGAATTACTTTTGGTGAGTGCATGTGAATGTGGCATAGTTGTTGTGAGAGAAACATTAGTGCCCCCGAGGAGCCACCATGTGCAGGCATGATGTCTACTGCAGACACATATATTGATGTAATAAGCCACACCTAGTGTGAATACTGCAAACAAAAGGTCCCTCCACCTCAAACCTGAGTAGAATTTACACACTGCCCCCCAGCTGAAATAGATCTCACTCTCTAGAATCTATCATTTTCTCAAAAAATGTAATCAAACATATGTGACCATAGAAGTGGAATCAATGTTTTCTCATGGAGGTGTCTCTGCTGTTCATTCTCAGCTCGCTATTCAGTCTGAAGGTTCTTAGGTGCACTTGAAACAAATGTGGTCCAGATGGAACAATGCCTAATCAGGTCACCTTTACAGAGAGCTGTTAATTCAAAGCTGAAAATGGGAGACTGTGCTGAGTCACTTTACCAATTGTTCTGTAGCTTTTTATAAAGTAGTCTATTAAACACAACCTTCTGCCTGGCAGGGGCCAATAATTTTATTAAGATCTAGGGCTGCCCAGTGTACCGGTACAAATGGTATAAGATTTCCATATGGTATGAATTTCTCACATACAGTTTATACCGGTGTTACGCCACAACAACTGAAGGTAATCTTATTTCTACACGTCATCACGGAGCACCCAGCGGTTGGAGCTACTTGTCTTATGTGTGTTGAGATGGAGTCATGGTTGTAACTTTATGACAAAAATGAATAACCCACAACAAACACTCTTTAATGGGGTAAAACACCACAACACAACAGCTTATGACACATAAACAGTTTGTAACACCAATAATTGTACATTTATAAAAAAATGACCAAACTGCTGGGTACAGATTGGCAGGCTGGGTACAGCTCACAACAAGAAGTAACTCTAATGCCACACGGAAATAAGCAATACAGGAGGAACAACGAGAGACCAGAGATACACCAAACCAACTTTTTTGGGGGTTTTGGAAAATCCGTCGTAAGTTACCTTGGATCAGATAACGATTTATTGCAAAGTTATTGTAAGCTAACTAGCCGGCCAGTTACGAGCAAGTTGGCCAGCGGCTACCCGAACACCAGTTCCATCTTTTTCGGGGTCAATGAATTAATGTGTTTACTTAAAAAAGCAATACCATGATATACCAGGACCAGGAATTTTTCTTAATACCGTGAAAACCGTGGTTTTCGCCATACCGTGCAGTCCTATTAAGAGCTCCTGCAGGAATGTCAACATATCACATTCAGATGTCAGTAGCTACATTAATGACGTGCTTTGCAACTGAGAACATGCTGCTGTTACCATGTAGGACCATTTTCAAATAGCTCTTTGGTTACTCTCTTAGTCAGCCCCTTAGTCACAGCAAATGGGGACGCCTCGACTTATCAACAATACTTGAATCACATATTTCTAGTTGTTAATTATCAACTTAAAACCAGATGCTAACAAGCTGTGTCGGCCATATAGCTCCTTTTTGATGAAACTGAATCATTTTTAATTATGTTGATATTGGATTCTATTGACATTGGACTGCCAATGTTCAATTGCTTGACACAGTTTTAATAACAGCAACCTGGTGGGTGAATGTGACCATTTTCCAATCTCGAATACTCCGTTTTAGAGTCGATGTAACATGATGCACACTAGGGCTACAAAAGTCAATATGTTGTAGCTGTGAGTGGTGGCTACTAGTGGTAGAGGAAGTTTTTAAATGGTTTGTTAATGTTATCCTGCCTCCCTCCTATTGCTTTGGCGTTTCGTTTTCCTACTTGTCCTTTATTGTTGCTAATTTCCATTATTTGGCAACGTTCCATACTCTATTACATGTATTTACATATGTTTAAAAAACAAACTAATGAATGCAAATCGCTGCCATCGAACGAAACACTGACACACTCAAACAATGCACCTTTGACTTATATACTCTGCCTGCAATGCAGTGCACTTTCATATCAGCATAGAGAACGCACCAGTTAATCCACAGGGTTATGATAGTGAAAGTCCTTCTCTATCCACCTTAAGATGATCCTGCTTTGGCGGTTCTGGGCAGCCCAGATATCAGTCAAGAGCAGGGAAGAGGAAAAAGTACACAAGCATCCTGAGGTCTGCAAAGGGGCATGATGGCTCGCCCACTAAAAGTGTGAAGTTGTCCCACCTTCATAATCAGTCAGGGACACAGCAGAGACGGACTCAGGTGGCAGCAATGACAGCAGAATGGACGCATATTGATGGGGAAGTTTAACAGTGTGGCTGCAGCAGAGGCTGGATGAAGCTGTTACTGGCCTCTTTGTGGTCCGCTACACGCAATAAAGGGGGCAATCTAGGGACAAATGTCCTGTATGTTATAGTTGGCAAGTGGATAATTCAAAGGCGCCCTGTCGATTTTTTGACCGTTAGTGTTGCAATGTTCACGCAAACGAATACCGATTTTGATGAAAACAGACACATGCTCGTACAGGTGTTAAAGTTCAGCATGTTAACAAGGGGGTCTTTTGAGGCAGTCTCAAGGGGCCATTCAAGGATCTATAAGATGTTGGCGCTTTGGCTTCATTTAATTTGCGATGAATGTGTTGCAGTTTGGTTTTAGTCAACAAAAACAACAGACCTTTTCAGTAAATTTGTTGTTTTATTTCATTCACAGATCAACAGATTTAATCTTGTTTAATCCATTAAACAACTGTTTGTCACTTAGCAGGAAATGGTGTGATACAACCTAAATAAAAGAGTATTAAAGACAAAGCACTGCGGCTCCATACAATATTCATAGATATTCTATGAACTATGTACGGGATATGCAATAGAATGGCCAGTGCCCAGGAAGCAGGGAGTTGAGTACTGTTTCTAAAGATGCCCCCCCGCCCTCCGTAAAGAACTGCTGACAACATGTGCATCTCTGGACTTATATTGCTCTCATAAATTCAAATACGTGGTCGGTTTAAACACATGAATGAGTAGGAGCATTTCTGGAGCAATACAAATAGCAAGGCTTTACAACCAAATCATGAAAGAGTTTTCAGGGAAGCAGAGCACTTGACTGTGAACATCTCTCTTGCTATCTCTTCCTTTCCCTTTATCTGTGGCTGCAGCGTGAGGCAGGCTATGGGGAAATTACCCATGAATGAAACAACTGTTGACACAAAGGGAATTCTTTTTTTTTTTGCCCTTGCTCCACTGTACGGGCAGTGGATTATGAAATGCCGTCCCCAGGCCTCGCTAAACATTAGCTGACACATGGGGGAAAGGAATTCCCATAGCTTCAGGTCCATGTTACTTCTTGCCAAAATAAGCAGCACCGACAAACTACATAAGAGAGGCAACAAAGACAAAAGATTGTATGGAATGAAAGAATAATTTACTAAACATGCGGCTGAAAATTACAACATTTGACTTATCAACAATTCGTTGAACCCTTAAAATATAATAAGGTGAGCTGTAAACATGGGGTTTGCTTTGACCTAACAACCATTTTTTCTATATAATGGTATAAAAATCAGTGTCACTCTGTTACACCAGAAAACATATTTTCTTCAATTGAAATGCAGGATTACCAACCTGTTTTAACGTCGATTTTCTTTAATTAAAAAGCATGTGAAAACAATTTCATTATTTAATAATTAAATAACATATGGTCTGTCAAATGTTTAAAAAGAAACACTGTCTTGTTGGATTTGTGATTGTTCTGAGTTTTATTAGAATGAACGTGTTTACTGGAGAGGAGCTTCAACATGTGCCACCATGTCTACGGAACAGAGTAAGTGAGCAAAAGCATCAGAAGGCAAAACAGACTCATCTCTGAGGCCTGGGCTTGGTTCCATGGGGCTGGAGTGAAGATTACGATCCACTATGTGTTTATTTTAAAATGTTAAGGACCTCCCAATTCTCCATGGATCAAAAATCAGCGTGCAATGTTTAAAATACAATCTGCTTATCCCAGGCCACTCCATACCGCATGCGCAATTAGTGTATACTGAACAGCATGATATGCCTTTCATGTGCCATTTCCTTAATCCCACGTTGCACAGAGGGATATGTCTCCCAAGGAAATCAATCCCCCCTGTATCCCTGCGTTTTTTCCCCACTTGTATATCTGCAAAGGGAATTGCCCCCTTCCTGGAACACCTTGCACCACCTTTAACGCCAAAGGCTTTGAAGACAGCTAATTTCCATACTAATTTCTTTCTTTTCTCCCTCCGCTCACCGTAATTCCGGACCAGGCGCAAGGCGAGAAGACACGTGTCGCTTGATCTGATGGCAGAGGACTAATTGCATTCTGGGATACATGCCTGGAATTCAGAATGTTCAACAAAAGAAACATGTTGTGTAAGCAGACCACCCACAACATCGGGACAATTAATAACCCTCCTTCTGGGGAGAGAATTTGGACTGTCCAGCCTCCCAGAAGACTGCACTGCTGCCTTTTTTGATATCTGTGGCCAGATAGAGACAGACCTGCCGTCCTTAGGCGGCGTGACGCCACTTGAGCTCCAATGTGACTGGACTGTTATGAGGCCAACTTAGCCAGCCTGCTCCAATCATAGGAAGCACAAACAAGCCCCTAACCATACTGAATGCTAAGCCAGATCAGTCTCGGGGGTGGTTTGTCAGGTTTTGCAGGGATAACATAGCATGGGATTATTTTTTCTCTCTCTCTCTCTCTCTCTCTCTTACTCACTCTCACTCAATCTCAATGTCCCTCTCCCTCTATTTCCATCTCTGCGTCTGTTATTCTGGATTCACATCTCTCCAAGGAGGAGAATGCCTTTTTACAACACATGCTGACACGCACGCACGCACACTCACACCCATACATAGTGCCGTACACACAAATACGCCTGTGTACTTACACCCACTCACACTCTCACCTCCTATCTCCGCTCGACACAAGCAGCCTAAGCATTTGAGGTCTCCATTTATATGGTTCATGTGTGGTTCAGCAGTGAAATTAAGATGAGGTGTTGACAAGCTAATGCTGAAATAACAAGACCTACTAACGTGTGGCGAGTCTTAATGGAGCCTGTGCCATCAAATGTTGCTGGAGCCCAGTATTAAGGTGATGAAGTGTACTATTTTAAACTGGCACCATCACAGGGTAAAGTCCTCATTACCACGAAGACACTGGTGGCACATTATGAAAAGCAATAAACATGCTCCCCTCACCCCGTCTCGTGCTGCTGCATCCATCGAGCAGGCAACATATGGGTGCCCGCAGGAGTGGCTGTGCTTAGCCAACTGGGGTTTGATGACAACACCGCCAGGGTCAGTGTAAAAGGAAATGTAATTTTCATTAAGAAAAAACTCATTTGGAGTCAACCCTACCTTAGACTAACATTTTATTTATATATATATAGCCCTTATATATATATGTATGTATATATATATATATATATATATATATATATATATATATATATATATATAGGGCTGTCAATAGATTAAAAAACAACAACTAGTTAATCGCAAAAAATCATTAATCTCGATTAATGGCGATTAATGAATGTTGTTGTTGTACAATGTTGTTGTTAATAAATGTTTGTTTTTCTTCTAAAAACTAAATGACGTAATGAGTAATCACTTTTCATTTATTCTTAGACACTGTTGTTGAATTGTTATTTTAAACACAAAACTACACACATTTGATTATCTTGAACGCAGAATTCCACCAGGTGGAACATGTTGAACTAGAAACTCTTCCAGCTAGCTTAGCCTAGCAGTTAGCTTAGCATAGCGGTGCTTTAAGTGGTTCGTTGGGCATTCACCCCCCCTTCTGTTTAACACATGGTGGAATTCCTCTGCCCAGTTCTCCGCTGGATGTCGCTCCTGTTTTACTTCCAATGCAAAAATCTCTCTCCATCTTGAGCTACCGTCTTGCTTTCTCCGATGGAACTGACTGCAGCTAGCGGCCGTTTCCTTTCTGCGGTCAACTTTCGGTTTACTTCCAGAAGTAAACAACGGTATGTTAACTACTGTGTTAAACATATATAAATTGTATTAATGTGGCTTGTTTTACAGCTTGTTTTAAGTCAAAATGTGCTAATGCTATTTTGCTAGGGGCGTTTGGGCGCCACAAAGTGTCAGTGTCAGGATGACTAGATGTACGTGTGTGTTGTGAGGAGGGAGGTTATCCCTCCGTGAATATAACCTCGTTCTCTAATTTTTTTTTTCTTTATTTTACTGCACACAGCCCGGTCAGGCTCGTCAGGATTTAGAGTATTACCACTGCTAAACCAGCCACAGCCGCTCAAAAAAAAGTATATTAGATTAGACAGATAGATTAGAGAGGGAATAAACCCACCAACATTATGTTATCCTCCTCTTGAAACCCCAGGTTATAAATACAAAGTGCAAACAAACCATTTACTTAAAACTGACATATGTCACTAACTTTAAAGTGCTGCTTAGCATGGCCAAGCATTCCCCAATCCAAAAAGCATGGCGAGAGGAAGTGACCACGATGTCTGTTTTCACTGTTGTTCTTTGAAAGGGTAAAAGAGGCACACAGCCGCACTAATTTGTCCTAACGAGAAAACAGCTGTAAACACCCCCGGGGGGGGATAAGCACTGTGTTGTGGAGATGGTATCAGATGGCAACAATGTCCCATCCAGACACCATACTACATTTCCAGGTGTTCTCTACACTATTGTGCCTATTAATCAGAGCTGAATTAAATAAATAAACACCGAAACACAAAGCTAATTGACTGTACGCCAGGTGAGCAGAAACTTCTGTGTTCAGCGATCTTGACTGTTATTTATTCTGAGTCTTGAGTTTCCGTGTATTTTTCATTTCAATATGTGTTCCTTTTTACAGACGCAGGCCTCGAAACAAAGACAACTGATTCTGTAGGGTAAGATGATTAGATCAAAATGACATAGTATTGTGCTGGTGATTACACGCATTGTGTTTCATACTATGGAATTGGAGAATGAATGGATTTTCAAACAGTCAAGCATTGTAAAATATTCAGCTCCAAAATCTGCAATCAATAATGCAGACTTGGCCCAAAGTGCCCTGGATCAAGAATATGTTTTACCAGCCTGTGTTGCCTAAAGCATCCGTAGCTCCTGTAAAACGTTCAATTTACCAAATTTTGGAATGTTTAAAATAATGCTATTTAGTAGTCATTCTGTTTCCGGGTGAAATGAAATGTGTGTTACAAGTAGCACTTTGTTGATTTGGGTGGATACAATTGTAAATGTCAACAAACCATGTCCTCTCTTTAAAGTTGAGCCCCTGCAGGCAGACAAGAGAAAATCTATGATTCTGATAAGAGAACCAACATGTGTTTTCTTTACTATGTACTCTAGTGTTTCCTGAGTCCCTCATTAATTATGATAATGGTTGTCTGTATTATTTTCCATAAGCGGTTTTGTGCAGGAATGCATGTCTACATTTATTTCAAAGAAAAACAAGAGCTAAAATGAGAAAACATCAGAAAATTGTCTACGATTCTCAACTTTTTCATGTGAAATGTAAAAATCTCATAAGTAGCATTTAAAATCACATATAAGTGCTAAAACTCTCATTTCCCTTTGAAAGAGTGCTTTAACAAATAGCCATTTGGAGTTAAATTGCTATCCATCATACGGACATTCAATGATAACTAGTGAGAGCACATTTGGCTCTGAACATGAGAGAACTGAACGCAAAGTCTTTTAATTGCCATCTAACAGCATAAATAGCTAAACCAATTATGCACAAATACAACAGGCTTCTCTTAAACATGTTTCATTTGAGAAGCAAATGGGTCATTGGGTTGCTAATTATTAATTGTTTCAACAACAAACTGCATATTAAAGCAATGCAGCTCTTGATGATCAGGGGCCCCACCAACCATGCGACTTCAAACAGCCACATTCAGCAGTCCTTTCATTCACTTGCATCTGTATGCATCAAGGTCCCCATCCACTCTACTTCAAGTAAAAGTAAAACGAGCGCCGTAATTCTATTAAACCTGAGGGAGGCTATTTAGGGAAACCTTTGACATTTCTACTAGAACCCATCAAATCAAATGTGTGAAAATCAAAAGCAGCTCTTTTGCTGGTAACCGAGTGCCCAACAAGTGCGTCACCAACAGCCATGAGAAAAGTTTGCTGTATGGGAACACTCCAGGATAGTGTTACCATACAGCGAATTTATTTGCACCGGAAAGTGCAAAGTGGAAACTAAACCGTTTTGAGCGTAATTAACACTGATTTAATGACACAAAGCCAAGGTACCCACTCTACTCTTTCCTCTTCAACTCAACCACGATGGCGGTACCACAACAACCAACAGCACAATAAAAGTAGTTGAAGAGCAGAGAAATAAAACCATTTTTTTGTTGAATTGTGCTTACAATGATGCTGGTGAGCCCAGGGGACTCCGAGCAACCTCAGATGGACTGTGAGAGTTGATACTAATTGATGTATCATGGACAGGCCCAGTGTGGAATGGAGTTGAGGGCGTATCGTCATTGACGAGAGGCCTATAGATTAAGCCTGTCAGTTCCCCTTCCTTTTTTTTGCCTCTGGCAAGGCGTGCTCAGCAGAAATCCATTTTTTTCTGAAGCTGTATGGGATGAGGACCATAATAATAACGTCATCTTCGGCTCCATCCAAAATAAGTGTGGCGATTTTGCTTATTCGGAATCGATGCGCCGCTGTCTGTCTCTGCCGTCTTCAGCTAGCTCTTCTAAGTCCGTGTTTGTGCGCGGGCCGAGTTCCAGTGCCAGGCAGGACATGGGGGTGATAATGCCAGCATCTGTCAGAGGGGCTTAGATATTCCTTTCCAAGCAAGCAGCAGGGACAGACTACAGACGTGTGCGGTTCCTTGGCAGTAGAGAAGAAAAAAACCCTGATATGAAATAAAATCAGTCATTCTCTGTGTACTTTCAACTGCAATGGTTCAAGTTTCCCCCACAAATCCTTCAAAAAATATGCTCCAAAACCAATGCAAGAGTGTGAAAATCCCATGGATTTAAATAGCCTCACTTTATGCATCCTGTGTTTAGGTTGGGGAAGAAAGACAGTACAGTGCTTCATTTATATTTGGATATGCATTAAAATATTGGTATATTCACAATATGTGAAGCACTTGGTTCTAAGATTATTAACATGTTGATAGACAATAAGCATCACACACCACCCCAAGTTTGGACTTTCAATTATTCATCCATTTGATGAGTTGATATGTAACAAACAGTTTGATAGAAAATGTATTTAGGTATTCTTTGGGAACAGCTATATTGGTTAATGAACTGTAGGAAGGTGACAAACAGGAGTCCGCTCCGGAACCTCAATAGCATGAAAAGTGAACACATTACCTTCCCATCATCACTTTCCCTGATTTCTTCCAGCGACCAACAAAAATTGTTGGAAGAGGAATTTGAACATCAATAAAAGAGCCAAAGGAACGTTGACAGCAGAAAGGGAGAGCTAGATTGTAACTCATGAATTAAATATGCCACCAGTCTTTTCAGAGAAAGAAATACGTTGTGGCTAAATTACGGCGCTATAAAGAAAAAGCTGCGTTATTCTTAAGTGTCGCTGTAGCAAAACAAAGAAGGCCGAGGGTTAAACCTCCAGAGATGTACCAATTCTCTGGCAAGATAATATCAATCACATGATTACATTACAGACACAAAGTACAATTACAAAAGCCTTATTTATTAGTTGCTCACAAGCGGTCTAGTCTTGACTTGGGTACTGTTACCCGTTAGTACCTGTTCGGCTTAGAATCGAGAGGCCACTGCAAGCCACTGTAACATCATTGCAGACTGATAGAAATACAAAACGTTCCATGCACTAAGTTGTACATACAGCCATCAGAAAGCCCTGAGGAAGAGGAAGTCCCCAGCCGGCGCCTACGGTTGTTTAACTCTGTGACATTAAGAATGTATGAGCTTAAAGAGTCTTCAGGCGCTCTCCTTATGCCACTGCAACACGTATTGAAAAGTGTTATGGAAGAGCAAACAAGTTGCTTTGTTGACACTAGGCTTGTTTGTCGAGATGGGATTGCCTTATGCAAGAGCAGGAAACTATATTTACACTGAAAGGATATCCCGTCCGAGGCGTTTAGCGCTGCTTCTTTTAGGAGATTGCATGATGATGATACGAGATTACCTCCTTTTTTTTATTGTACACTATAACAGAATTATTCATGCAGGTGGTGAGTGATTGTGGACTTTCCTTTACTTGTGTGTAACTTGTAGTATATAGGAACACAGATGGTCATATAATGTGAATTTCATAAGCGGTTTCATGTTCCTCTCGTGCTCTGCAATAGGCCCAGTGAAGCTGCTAGTTTTCATCCTCGAGTCTTTAATTTACTGACACAGTTTAAGTGTGTGTCATAAATATAAACGTAAATAAAAGAAGGTAAATTGTTAAGTTGTACATATTGCGCAACAATGACCTCATTCCCCTAATGATACACAGTTCAATCCCTCTTTATTGATTAACAATGATTGTATATGGCTCAGAGCTAATTCACCTTTTGGACAGCATATTAATTGTGGTCAAACGGCAGACTTTAAATTCCAATATAAAGAGGAAATTGATTTGCCAATGTGCTTCATTGTTATTCGTGTGGCTTGCGGTGGTTCTGCATTGGGGTGAAACAGTCTGGGGGGGGTGGGGGTTGTAAAAAAATAAAATAAAAAAGGAACAGGTTGGAATAACGGAGCTGCGGCTGCGGCCGCTAGGTGTCACCCTTGTGACTTTGAAATCGGCCTTTCCTCGGAAGTGTGTGACGGCGGCTCCTCCGCGAGCAGCCCGTCTCCGCATGGGAGGAGCGCGTGCGTTGCGTGCGTGCTTTGCGTGTGCAAAAGGGGGGGCGGCTGTGAACGAGTGTGGCTTGCATCTCAAGGATGTGTGGCGCAACAAGAGGAATTTTATATCCCCCCTCCTTTTCCCCCCCGCTTCCCTTTGGTAGAGTTGTTTTTAGTGGTCAGCTGTCACGTGTCAGCGGGGCGTCTCTTTAAGCGTCAATATGACGGAGTTACGTGGAGATAATTGGGGAGCCACGCGGAGTAGCTAATGATCGATTTGTTGTTTTGTTTTCTTATCATGATTAGCGGCGGGCCAGAGAGGCCAACGTCCAGACGCCTCATTATTAACCTTTCTACGTGGGGACTCTGACAAACACGCACGATCCAACCAACTAATTAACAGCGAATTCTTTTTCATAGGAGGAAATATCATCTCTGTTATTGAACCTTCTTCCTACTCGGCTTGTCCGCTGTTCATCTATACGTATGTGAATGTGAAATCCAGGTGTGAAACAGACTATTAAAGGATAACATATTTAACTCTGTGCGTCCCGGCGGGGTTTGTTTGATAAGGACGCTTCAGGCTAATAAGTCTTATGACAAAAGTGTGTGCAATGATCTCACTGATGGATAGACATCCTCATGCTACTACATGGAATCCATAATCTATAATGAATGTATCTTAGTGAGGTGGAGCATGGTGTGGCCTGTACGTTCAGACGCATAGTGCAACATAATGCGCACAGTTGCAACTGTAAATATTCAATAGAAAAAAGCAGGGAATGACAGTTGTTTCTTCAGCAATAACATCTGCTTTGGTACAGAGATTCAAACTGAGGGTAAAAAACTCCGATCCATCGAAATAACCTCCGGGGTCCCCCATTGAGACTCGGTACAAATAAGTGCCCATTGGTAAGAGAACACAAGGACACATCCGTGAAAAGTTATCCTTAGCATCTCCCCTGCGCCTCCACTGGGAGAAATTAGCGCGTGGCTCTTTTCTTCTTCCACTTCTTCCCGGAGCAGCGATGACACCGCCTCAAAGACCTCCCCACTACCCCTCCCCCATACCCGCCCTGGACTTTTCTTTCGGAACCGCCGCTCTCTCGATCATCTAACACACTTCGCGTCGTGTCTCAACTTGTACGCCGCGATTTGCCCATCGCATCGCCCCTCTGCAGGAGGAGAACAGGTAGTTGGCCGTGTTTTCCGCTGGCGCGCTTCGCCCCGCCCACCAGCAGCTCGCAGCCCTCCCGTGTAACCCCTGATTGGCTGAGGGGATTGCAGGTCCCGAGACTGAGCGCTCGGCTCGGAGCTGCGCGGCCGCCAGTGTGCACCAGCGAAGCGAGCGGAGCGCTTGTTCCGAGTCAACCAAACACAGCCTACTGGCAAAGAGTGGTGTTTTTTTTAATTTATTTATTTTGTATTTGTTTGTTTGCGGGTTTTTTTCTTTCTGCCTCCAACCAGGCTGGATACGGGGCTACTGTGCGTCCTGCTTTGTTGCTGACCAACATGAAATGCGTGTTGCATATACAGTAGGCTCTTTTCATCGTTGATGCACAACTGGCTTTTTGGCTCAAACGTTTTTCTTTTTCTTTTTTTTTGTGTATGTGGCATGGACTAATTATCGGGATACGTGCAACCTTTTCAAAGGAAATTAAGTAAAAGCTGGAAGACTTGCGGCGGGGATGAAAGACAAAATCTTCTGGAAATAAAAAAAAAGGTAATCGGGACTTCAGTGATGTGATGAATCGCACCCGTTCTTTAGAAACAGATATCCGGACTGGAGTTGTTGAATCGTTTTGTGACTGCTGATCCTTTGAGCTCGCTTTTTTTTTCACGTCCGATGTGTAGTTGGAGAGCAGGAATCCGAAAAGGACATTTTATCACTGCTTGAATTAGCTCACGCATTCAAAGCAATATGTTTATCCAAAATGCGACTTAAGTATTTCCTGGCATCAGGGCGGATCATTTAACACGGACTTTTGACCCCGACTCGTTCATCCTCACGGAAGATTGAACATTTTTGTGGACTTGCTCACAAGAATTTCCCATATATGCACTCCGATTATTTCCCCTTCTTTCAGCCCACTTGAAAATGGACAGTTTGTCATATGAGTCATGTGTAGGACCGGTTTGCCGCTTGAGGAGAGCTGCGCGGATTTACACGGTTAGATCACTGTTGTGAGAAGAGATTCAGCATGTTTTCACAGATCTGTCGTCCCCAATGTTTCGCCCGCTGCAGTAGACCGGAGGATGTGCTCTGCCCGAGAAGAGTCAAATAGGCTTTTTACAATTATAGCTTTTAACGCCATGATATCGTTTGCCTAGGAGAGACCTTTTCCTCCCCTTTTACACTTTTCTGGACATTTGAATGAGATGATTCATTTGGAACGATTTTCCGATTTTCTCTGACGTGCAATTCTAGTGCGTAATTGGCGAGGTCTTCGTCAGGCTGAGGGGGAGAAAAAAACAACAACAAAAAAACTCAACAGGTACAATGCAAACCAAGGAGATGGAATTAATTCAATTCGTTGCTGTGTTCGTCTTAAATTGGGTGGCGGCTGAGGCTGTCATCAACCTAAAGTATGGAATAAACGAGGAGATGAAGCCCGGGTCAGTAATTGGAAACGTGACAAAGGACGCGCTAAAGCAAGGATTTCAGATTGCGCTGCAGCCCCCGTACTTGAGGGTTATTTCCAATTCAGAACCACGGTGGGTGGAACTCAGTCCCGCCGGAATCCTTACAACCCAAATGAAAATAGATCGGGATGTGGTTTGTCGACAGAACCCTAAGTGCATTATTTCCCTAGAAGTAATGTCAAACATGGAGATCTGTGTCATCAAGGTGGAAATTGAGGATTTGAACGATAACGCACCCAGGTTCCCAACGAGCCACATCGACATTGAAATCTCCGAGAATGCCTCCCCTGGTACCAGGTTTCCCCTAGAGGGGGCAAGCGATCCGGACTCTGGGACCTTTGGAGTGCAATCATATTCCATCACTCCGAATGAGCTTTTCGGACTAGACATAAAGACCAGAGGGGATGGGTCTAAAATTGCTGAGCTTGTTGTGCAAAAATCATTGGACAGGGAGACCCAGTCCCACTATACGTATGAAATTAGCGCAGAAGATGGAGGCGACCCTCCTAAAATAGGCGCGGTCCAGTTAAATATCAAAGTAATTGATTCTAATGACAACAACCCAGTCTTTGACGTGCCAGTGTATACTGTTAATGTCATGGAAAATTCCCCCATTAATACGTTAGTCATTGACTTGAATGCAACAGATCCCGACGAGGGCACTAATGGCGAGGTAGTGTACTCGTTCAACAGTTACGTCAGCGAGAATACCAGGGATGCGTTCAAAATTGACCCGGGAACCGGGATCATCACCGTGAACGGTGTCTTGGATTACGAAGCAGCGAACATATACGAGATCGACGTCCAGGCCAAAGATTTAGGTCCCAACTCTATCCCAGCTCACTGCAAAGTCACAGTGAATGTGATGGACACAAACGATAATCCACCTGTCATAAATCTGCTCTCACTGAACACAGAGATGGTGGAAGTTAGTGAAAACGCGCAGCGTGGTTATGTCATCGCGCTGGTGAGGGTTTCCGATAAGGATTCCGGGGCCAACGGCAAAGTGCAGTGCAGGCTGCAGGGCAACGTTCCGTTCAGACTTCAAGAATATGAGAGTTTCTCCACCATACTTGTTGATGGCAGGCTGGACCGAGAGCAGAAGGACACATACAACCTGACCATCCAAGCGGAAGATAGCGGTATGCCTCCTCTACGCGCGACAAAGTCTTTGGTAGTCAAAGTCACAGACGAAAACGACAACCCTCCCCACTTCCTCAAACCACACTATCAGGAGATGGTGATGGAAAACAACCTGCCCGGATCATGTCTGCTAGCGGTGTCGGCAGAGGACCCGGACCTGGGGATGAATGGCACAGTCTCCTACTCCATTGTCCCCGGAGAGATTAAGCACATGGATGTAAACACGTATGTCAGCATTAACCCATCAGGCAAAATTTACTCCATGAGATCATTCGACCACGAATACACTAGAACTTTTGATTTCAAAGTATTGGCCAGAGACAACGGTAACCCGTCTCTATCCAGTAACGCCACGGTGCGTATCGTCGTCCTGGATGTCAACGACAACACACCTGTCATGACGAACCCTCCGCTCGTTAATGGCACAGCGGAGGTTTCCATCCCCAGAAACGCTGGGGTGGGCTACATGGTGACCCAAGTGAAAGCAGACGACTATGACGAGGGAGAAAACGGCCGGCTGACCTACACCATCTCCGAGGGCGACAGGGCTTTTTTCGAGATCGACCAAGTAAACGGAGAGGTGCGTTCCACCAGGATGTTTGGGGAAAACGCCAAGTCCACTTACGAGATCACCGTGGTGGCGAGGGATCACGGCAAGCCCTCCCTTTCTGCCTCGGCCTACATCGTAGTGTACCTCTCACCAGACCTGAACGCACAGGAGCCTATCGGACCTGTCAACCTGTCCCTCATCTTCATCATCGCTCTGGGCTCCATCGCAGCCATCCTATTTGTCACTATGATTTTTGTGGCGGTCAAGTGCAAGAGGGATAACAAGGAGATCCGGACGTACAACTGCAGGTACTGATTAAATCTTTTATGTGTGTGTGTGTTTTGAGTGTGCATGTTGCGTGTGCATATGTGTGAGAGGGGGAAGCAAGCGTGTGCCCCCGTGCTTGTGCGTCTTTCCGCAATCGTGTCTGAAACCGCGAGTTGTTAGTGCATCGCTTTCTTCATGCAGCATGCGGGCCCCAACGTGAGGACTGCAGATTTTTGTTCCCTCCCCACACGGCTGAAACTGAGGCAGACGAATCACTCGACTGCTTTAAATCAGACACATTGTGCTGAAGCCCAGTGTTCCGTGTTAGGGAGACGTGATTGATTGATTTTAATCCTCCCATTGTATCAAATTGAGTCATAAATATGACGGTTCACCTGTCATGTTCAATTTGTGGCTGTGCTGCAGGACAATTAACGTCCCGCTGGTTCAATAGCAGTCCCAGACATTTATTATTTAACATCCACCATGGCTGATTGGCTGTTATCAGCTTTAATCCAGTGTGATTATGGACAGTCCTTGAACACCACTTAGATTTGCCTCTGCTTTCTTCTGCACTGAGGAATATGTAGACGTTAAAATTAGATCAACATTTCTTACTTTTTAATACAGATAATTAAAAGCCACGTAGATCACATCATCATCATCAAGTATTTACTCGGTTTCCCTGGAAAAAGGTAGATTATTATTTTCTGGAACTTCCATGTTGAACTTTTTGTTTTGTTCATCAATCTGAACATCAGCTCTGGCTTTGATTTCCCTGTGCCACATTACCACTATAAATTTACATATAGATTGGATTTGAAAGTTTAACCTGAAGCTATAATCATATTTTGCTCCAAACATAATTTTATTAATTCAAAGTTAACTTTGGGCATTTTTCAAGCATGTAGTCATGAAAAAAAGATTTCCCCCAGTTTTCTTTCTCAACATATATATATATGTATATATATATATATATATATATATATATATATATATATATATATAAATATTATGAATTTGAAAATTGTTATTCACATACAATGTTTGGTTGAGATTTCTACAAGCTTTAAGTGCTTTTCAACATTTTGTGAATTGAACTGCTTCAATTTTAAAATCAATTATTGTTCTCTCTGTAGTAGCTCTACAAAAAGCAAAGAATGACTACTCCACTTACCTTCATGTTGTCAAAAGGAAGAATCCACATCTCTTCTTATCACAATAATACCAAGTGCTTTATTCAAACCTGAATTCAAACAGACGGATACCTGAGTGCAGCTGTCTCATAGACAACAGCCACCTTATGCAATATAACATTGTCCATAATATTTATACATTTTGTTTAGAGCAAAAACAATGAATAGAAAACTACACATTTAAAATGAGAGAACAGTTCTCAGCACCTTAGTCTCCTAGTGTGAGGCACTCTCTCTACTGGGAGCTTTAATCAGCAATGATGTGTTCTACTTCTCAGTCGCAACCTCGAATATGAGGAGCAGTTATCTTCAATTTATTGCATGTCCTCTGTCACTCCGTTTGACTCTGAAGATTTCCCCTCCCAGATTTCAATTTGGGCATGAAGAGTAGAGAGACAACATGTTAGAGGGATAAATGAAAAAGAGATGGAGTACTCTGTATTCTTGTGGCTGCTTTTTTTTTCCACCAAATCAAAAGGGAGCAAAATTGGGAGGGGGAGCGGGGGGGCTGTTTTGAAGATGCAATCTAAAAGAAGAAGGAAAAAGACAAACTACACTGGTGCATTTTGGCCAGCGTGATTTTTAGAACCAAAGGAGGATTTGAGATGCATTTTAGGGAGGAGCACAGACCCAGGCCAAGAATCAGGAACAGAGATATTGCAATTCCATGGGCAACTACGGTTTTGTTTTTGGCTTTAACAGAAAATAAACCATATGTTCCACGGCGAAACCTTTAAAATGGCTTTCTCCAGAGTTTGAAGTTATGCAGGCGGTGAAAAACATCACAAATTATATGGAATATGTTTGCAGTCATCACCATAGCAAATAATTAAGCATCTGTTCTCTTGTGGAAGGGTGTGGAAAGAATGGATAATTCCCCCAATCTGAGGATGCTTTGATAAAACAGGGCTCTGTTCCTCATTTGCCCGTATTAGAGTCAAAATACTCTGTTCAAGTTTGCACCAGACATCCAGAGCCGCTAAATTAATTTGAATCCGCAGTTCTCGTTGCTGCTAGTGGGCTCGCCTGATTATGAAAGAATAAATTGAATTAGTTTGGGTTGTGTGCTTTGAATTTGATTGCATTTACCGGTTGTGCTGCTCAGGAACAGCGTGTTCTCTTGCTTTGCTTCTGTGGTTTTGGCATGTTTGCATTTCGTCTGCCTGTTTGTAACATGTTGATTGTTGAGCATGCAAATGCAAACAAACAAGGGATAACCGCTCTATTGCAAGACGGGCGTGGGGAGTCATTTAAGTGTGCGGTTCCACGCGGGCAATGAGCGCTTGCCTGGCGGCCCGTGGTCGAGCAGCGCCCGAGCTGGCATGGCGGGTGGGCTCTTTGGCCGCGTGGACAGGGCAGGGGAAGGCAGAACACTGCTTTATTGAGTCTGTTCAGTTTCTTCTACTTGCGCAGGGTGGCGGAGTACTCATACGGAAACCAGAAGAAGTCCAGCAAGAAGAAGAAGCTGAACAAGAACGACATCCGCCTGGTGCCACGTGACGTCGAGGAGACAGACAAGATGAATGTGGTGAGTTGCTCGTCTCTCACCTCCTCGCTCAACTACTTCGACTACCACCAGCAGAGCTTGCCGCTGGGCTGCAGGCGCTCCGAGAGCACCTTCCTCAACGTGGAGAACCAGAACTCACGCAATGCAGCTCCGAACCACGGCTATCAGCACCCGTTCACTGGGCAGGCCCACCAGCAGCCAGACCTCATCATCAACGGCATGCCACTGCCAGAGGTGAGATACAATCCGCTGTGCTCTGTCCTAAATCCTTGGCTGGGCTGCTTTGGGTGTGAGGGGTAAAGGAAAATGGGTGGTGTGGTTTTTACATTGGTTCTCATGACTAAACCTTTCATTCATTCATAATTAGTAGGGCCCCCGGATTGTGCGGACTCCTTTTAGCCTCCGCTGTGAAGAAACGACGCACTGCCTTTCAGCACCTGTATTTCACATTGCAGTCTGCCATAGATTATTATTGTGTCACTGAAAAGTCTCCCTGCTGTTGATGTAAAGCTGAGCTCTCTGAAATGGCACAAGTGACGCTCTGTCAGTTGATCTGAGTGGAATCGTTCAAAGGCATTTCGGGGGGCTGAGACATTGAGGCTGACCTGTGACTGAGAGCGCTTTGCCAGGCAGAATTTGGAGGTCTGAGAAAGTGGATTATTTAGCCTCCTCTACTCCACTTGTTTTATTTTTCTTTGTCAGTGGTGAGAACCTGCCAGCTTTATTGACCCCCCCCACTAATCAGCTTCACTACACATCATTTCAGGTCCTAGCAGAAAGAGTAAGCATTGCTTGGATGCTTTGTTGGTGTGTTGTCCATTTGGCCGCCGTTCTTGCCGCATGGCCGCCCTCCACAAGCAGCCATTGAATTACCCTGACGTACAATGCATGAACCCAGCAGCACAGTGGAGGTCTCACTTGAAAGGCCGTTCAGGCTGACGGAGTGCATGCAGACTAGATTATCTTTACTTTATAGATTTTTGAATGTATGAACGGTCTATTGGATTCTTTTGGAAAGCTTTTTCTTTATGACCCACTCGTCCTTGATCCCACCGAAGAAAGCGGCATTTACGTTGTGTGTGTGTGATGGGGAAAGTGTGCATCAGTGTTGTGTGTGTTTGTATAAGAATGCGTATGATACCCACTCCTATACCGACTGCAGCAAACAAGCCGCAGCTCCATACAAACGCTTGTAATTGATGACTCCAATTTATGTTTGACATTCAGTGAGGAGAAGGTGCGGGGGGGGGGGGGTTTGGTGCGTGTGTCTTAAAACAAGCAACACAAGATGGATATTGATGTATTGACCGGATGATCCAGAGAGAACCAGGCACCGGTTGATCCGGAGGGGTCAATGAGACCTACTTACAGGCATGCTGATTTACTGGGCCTGTCTGAGCCGCCTCTGACTGAGTTTGTGTGTGAGTAACACAGGTGGAAGGAATGAGAAATGTTGTCGGTGGGTTGTCCCGCGGCGTTATCTGGTCAGTGGAGGCAGAGGTGGGGGATTCAGCAGGCACACGCAGTGACCCGTATGCTGTGATTGTATTCGCTGGTAGGTAGTGCTATGCAGGTCACCGCCAGCCTTTTCTCAGCCAAGAAAATGTGGGTCTGGCTGCACAGAGGAATCAACCACCGTTAAAAGCTCCAGTAAGCTTCCTGTCTCTGTGGCTTAACCGTCCAATAAAAGCACATTTGCCGCAGGATTAGGGGAGCCTTTATTTGTTCCAGCTAATGAAAAAGTGGAGAGGGAGACAAATAGGATGGAAGATTGATTCGGATGATTCCATATGCAAAGCTTGGGCGAGTCTTGATAGAGATGTGTGAGGGCAGATCGAGGGATAAGAAGGGAAGAAGTGAGCCGGGGTGATTGACTCTCAGTGCCAGGTGTCTGAGCCCGACCACGTTTTCGCATTTGCTTAGAGGCAGTTGATTAGCTCGGCAGAGGCCGGGCCTGTTTAGCATGCAGCTTCCATTGCTCTCCGCCTTGCACATGCTGTTGACAAACATCTCTTTGACCTGGTCTTTGCATATTTTCCCTGAACTGGGAAAAGAGAGTGTGTGTGTGTGTGTGTGTGTGTGTGTGTGTGTGTGTGTGTGTGTGCGCGCGCGTGTGTGTGTGTGATTGAGAAAGTGTGTTAGAAACAGCAATATAGCGAGAGCATGCCATTTAACCTCCAACGGAGTAATACCAGCACAACAACAGATGTCATTGTCTTCTTTCCGCACCGTTGCAACATTTGCAAGAGACAGAAGCTCTAGAGTAGGTTCAAATATTACTCTTAAATTAAAAAAAACAATCTTTTTGGTATAGTAATTACAATGCCATTCATAGTGCAATCAAACAGCAGTGGAATGACTGATAATTGCCTCGCCCCAGCGAGCGTGCTTGGACTTGAAACCACTTGACTCTTCCAGTTCTCAACCCACATGCCATTGACATCCCATTGACAGCCTGGGATCGCTGAGGCTGCTTTGTCAAGATTTTTTATTGTTTTTCAACCCGAGAACAACCTATTTATTGGCGATGATTCAATATGGTTTTCCAGTGAAGTTAAAGGGGATATGGAGCGGCTCGTATTTGTAAGTTGTGTTTTTTTGATCGATGTAAAGTTCTCCCACGTTGTTAGTTTATGTAGGCCAGTTACATCCTGCTTATGTCAGAGCATTTGAAGTCAAGTTTTTCCTGCTTCAGACAAAGCACACTGGCACACACACACAGCAGACTCGGCCAAGATAACGGTGACAGGCCTCCCCAAAGGCTTCATACCTGCGATTGCGTTGTGTATATTGTATTCTCCCTGGTGAGAATGTGTACCAGTATATACCTCCCTGAACGTTGTTACTGCCCGTTGTTTTGAAAAGCATCAGCTGTGAGATGTTTGTTAGACCTGCCTGTGGTAGCGCTAATATGAACGCTCACAGGAGAATAGAGCTGTCGTCCATGGCTTAATTATAGTGAATCACCTGGTATGGGGAAACAGTTATGCAGTAAAGGAATGGCCTTTGGCTAGAATGTTTTTTTAAATGAGTAATTTGTGCCGAGGCATCTCACGCTTGGGATTGCAGATAATGAGCGTAACAGAAACATAACATATGTTACTTCATTGATTAGCCTAATTCTTTTACACAGGTGTTAAATGAAACAGAAAAAGTTTTCAGTCAAATCGAGAATAAATGGGACTTTTGTTCTTCAAATTACGTCAAACGTTTTTATCGACGTAGCTGCAAATCATGTTATGACACCTTTTGTATGGAAAAAATCTAGAACGTTCTATTTATTTTAAAGAGATCAAACAAGATACACTTTGCCTTAAAAGTTAAGAAACCCAGAATAGAACCAGGATTTGGTGGTTTACCGCCGGCCTCCACGAGTTGGGACGAGAGGAACACAAAAAGAAGTGAACAAACAATACAAATCTAACTATTAATAATTACACAGTATTAGGAAGCTGGCTGTCCAACCTTATAGTAGCGTAACAGAGCGAGCCTGAACTAGTAATTACTATACTATATGTTATCAAAGAGGAGTCCTAAAGGTACAGTGTGTGGGATGTTCTGGCAGAAATGGATTGATAATCGATGCGCTGTGTTCTTAAAGCTCCTGTATACGTCTCAGTAATAACCGTACTGCAGTGTACACGGTCGTGGTTAAGATTCTGACAAAAGAGATACGCATGGACGCTTTGTGTTTTTTGTTCAGTCCTTAGTCAACCACATAATCCTAAATGGAAGAAAAAGTGAAAAATTGATAAAAGAAACAAGTGACAGGTGTCTCGGGTGTATCAGTGTGGCTGTTTCCCCTGTTGGTAAGGAAGGGATTTTGATATTGACGTTGGAGAGACAAAAGGGAGTGGTTCCAGCACATTTACGCATCCCCCGCTATCACTTCACATCAGGAGAATATGCATGGGAGCATTCAAACGTGTCATATTGAGCATGCAAAATAGATGTCATGCTGTCAGCGCAGACTACACATCTGTTGAAACTGCCAATCTGCCCCAACACACGTACTCGTGGTACACAAACGAACACACAGAGATTCTTATCGAGTGTCTTATTTAATTGAAATACGGGCTGTGACGATATCATTTACATCATTATGAGCAACTCACAAATCTCAGAGGAAGAAACAAGAGGCATAATATAACACGTGCCGATCATCGTACAGTGTTGTGACTCTGCATTTAGAGTACTTTTTAATGTTGTTGTTTTTTTTGTTTTTGTTTTATAGTGTTATCGGGCGGCTCTAAGAAAACGTACTTACTCATTGTAGACATTTTTACACTTTACAAAATAATGTATATTTGCCTGATCTTAGCAGCTTTTCAATGTCACAGATCTGTTTTTGGTAAAGACAATGGTGCTAATTCACACGGGAGGTTCAGTCATTAAAATTTATCTCTGGCTGGATGTCGAAGAATCATTTAGCATTCGGCAACTGTGATTGACGGAATGAAGGGAACATCAACATTCGGTTGAAAGTTTAATTGAGAAATAACAACATGGAAAGAAGAGCGGCCCAAAGTGGAAGTAAAACCCGGCTCAGCATCCACGTGGTTGCTGAATGCGTGCATCACTGCAACAAGAGACCGCGGCTCACGCTTCTTTTCAAATAGTGAAAGTTAATTGCCTGATTTCATTCTTGCAGTGTCTGACTGTCAGCCATGTATTCACAGTTTTCAATGCCATTTGGAAGTGAATGAAAGTGAATGAGTGAGTTTGACATTTTCAGCAAAAGCAAATTGGAAAGATCTCCTCACACATTTAAAACCGGATGATAGACTTCCTTTACACCATAGGAGCGCATACTAAACAAGATCACAACATTGGATTTAAAAACAATTTGGGAGATATTTTTGTAAAATTATTGATCGAGTGATCCCTTTAATCAGTCTAAATCAGTTTAAATAGGACAATCTGAACAATTTGTCAAAGATATTCAAGGAGTAATCGCAGTCGCATTTATTTTTGACGCATTTAAAGAGCGGGAGGTTTGTGTTCCATTCTTTAAAGTCTCCTCTTTTCAAAGGATTTGAGAATGAATCATTTCATCTCTGGAATCTTCAGACGCGCAATGATTGAGTGGCGGATGAACCTCTTAATTATTTAGAGAGGTTATTTGTAAGGCAGAGACTTTGGAAACGCTCTGCTTTTCAAGTGTCAGTGTTTATAAGGTGAAATAAAGCCCCATCTGTCAGAAATAAATTAGCAGTGTGACAGTGATGTACGCA